GAAGAAGAACTTGAAGTAGTACAAGAAATGTGTCAAATTTGATGTATTTAACAAGAAAAATTAACGAACTGAATAGAAATAGAGCTTAGTAGACAATCAACTCAAGAGTAATGTGTCAAAATTTGATGGTTTATAGAGCTTAAGAAAATAGATGGAAGTCAAATCCTAAAAACCCAAACTTTCAAAACCAAAATCGTTCCTTTAAATCCAACTACATCTAAATCAAAATCCAGTACACCGTAATAGGTTGAAGGGACCAACCGAGTTCGCCCTAAAATGCTCCCAGACTCGGTTTTCGAGGTGGCCGCAATGAGTCTCCTCCTCCGCCGTCAGTAAATCCGACAAGCTTCGACGTGTGTTCTGATCTCCCTCTGATGGCTGTCTCCTCGCTACCCCCTCTCGCAATGACAAGCCTCTCGGAACTGATCAACTCTGCTCACCGTCGGAGGTCGACCGTTGCGTCGCCTCTGTCTCTCCCGATTCCTCCGGAGCCTCCCGACCCACCGGAACCACCGGACCGGATCCGACAACGCGCATACTCTCTCCATCTGCTTATGTGCTACCGTTGCTGGAGAATCTTAGCTCTCTTGCCCCCATCCTACCTTTCGGCTTCACCTCCGGCGCCACCGAGGGCAAGACCTGTTAACTCGTTCCCTCACCCTGCTTCCGACCCATCTCAGCCTGTGGACTCAAGCTCTGCTCTACGGACTGTAAAATCTTCTCCACCCTTGCCTCTGCTCCGACCTTCGGCCTCCGCCCCACCCTCTCGCCAGTGCGCCTCTTCGCTGGTGAGACCCAGTCCAAATTCCCCTGGCTATCTCTGCTTAGCCGACCCTTGCTTCTCTATCCCCGTCGTGAGGCGAGGTGAGATTTAGACTTTGGTCCGAGCAACTTCCTCCGTTTCTCTCCCTCGAACCTTCGAGATGACGGTCACGACAATATCCCCTCCCCCACCAGAACCGCCGGACACGCCAGACCTCCTCCCGGCTCCGTCGTGCGTGCTCATTTCAAAACCTCATCACCGTCCCGACTTGCTCTCCCCAGGGCTCGTCCCGAGAACATCCCTGCTGCCATCTTCGCCGGACCCTATCAATCTGACGATGCCAATCTCCGCGTTCAAGCTGTATCACCGTCGGCTCTCACCGGAATCCCCCCGGATCTGAACGGCACCAGATCGGGATGGATTACGGCTTAGATTCGACGGCTCACCACTTCTTCTGTCGGATTCCGCAACATTTGTACCCTACCCCGACCCGTTGGTCACCACCGGTCTCTTTGGCGGCCGCCGGAACTGTAATCGCCGGCAAGGACTCACTGCGAATTTTTGTGGTCAACAACGACACATCCGTTGACTGGATCTATTTGTTGATGGCTTTTGGCTGTTAATGGACCGAATCCGAATCCGAATCACGGCAATCATTATGTATAATGGGCTGAGTCTGATTATGGATATTTGTGAGTTTCTAATGGGCTTTTTTAAGCCCAATCTGCTGAGGCCCAATTTGGAGATGGTTCTCTACTATCTTTGCCCATCATTAAAGTTTTCTGAATTCTCAAATCCTGCAAGTTACTCTCGGTGGAAGAAATTAGTTTCACCCTTTACCATCTCTTTAAGAGTGGTTGTATCCTCCTCCCCTTTGAGAGCGGTTGAAATCCCGTGTTTTTGTCGGGACCTTCAAAATCACATTCAAACGTGACTATCCTGAGACTCTCTGGCCTAGCTGCGAAGTCTTTCTGGACGCATCCGAGACATACTTTTGATCCGCTGTCCAGCATCTTCTGCTATGATCTATCTGTTCTAAGTTTTATTGCATTTCAATTATGTTGTAGTATTGCTAGAGGATGCTTGATTCCCTCCCTTTGTATTTTGATCGGTTAAATGAATGAAGTAACTTTGTTGAAAAAAAAAAAAATCAAAATCCAAAAACTCTCATAAGAATAAACTGCTCCAGAATGATAAAGAACAAAGGTATGCTAAAAATCCCAACTTTAAGAAAACAGACCTATGCAAATAAACCGTAAAATCGAGCCTTCCTAAAGTTGCAGTAACAGAGAAATTGATTGAAGAAAGACTAAGATTCAGAGTAAAAACGACAGAAATATGACACGAATCGAAATACCTTCGATTTTCCCTAACCATAGAACTGAGATGGAGCAACCGACGGGCACGACAGATGGAGAAATTGACGGTGACGAAGGACGAAATTGTGGCCGGCGACAAGGTTAGTGTGGTTGCGGCTAGTTTCGATGGTGGCGACAAGGAGATTCGTCGGTTGGTAAATGAGATTTATGGGAGAAAGAGATTTTGTTTAGGTTTGAGTTTTTGTCGATAAATGTTGTGGAAAAGGGGAAAA